CGGAGCTTAGTCTTCTTGCCTGTTAAATGAGAAGCAGAAGCATAGAGCAGAAGTTCTCTTTCCCGGCTGCCTGTTAGCCTCCAGGAGCTTTGACGCACATGGTGAATGCTCAGGGCCCATCCCAAAGGTTCTGACGTAATTGGTTTGTGCGGGGCCTGGAAATGGACATTTTTAAGAAAGCCCCAGTTCACTGGGCAGTCAGAACTGGGGGCTCCTGCACAGGGAAATCTTGAAGGCCTTGCCTCCTGAGCCAGCTTCATTAGTGCTGTTATCCACACAGACGTGGACACCAGAGAGCCTGGGCTCAGATTCCCAGCTTGCCTGCTGTGTGACTTCAGGCGAGTTACTTAACCTCTCTGTGCCTCAATTTTCTCATCTGTAAAACAGAGATGATAATAATATCTACCTCACACAATTGTTATTGGTGTCAGAAGTAAGCAGGTTAAAACGTCTAAAGTGCTCAGGACAGTCCCTGCTGCAGAGCCCAAGGGCAGGAGAGGGGGGCAGCTTTTATCACTTGTCTCATTGATTCAGAGATCTCCTGTGTCCCTTCCAGTCAGCAGAGGAGCACCTTTTCACATGCCGCTGGTGACATTTTGTATCGATCCAATTGGTTTCGAGAAATTCTATAGGCCCTTTTAAAACCCAGAGCATTTCTGTGAGAGCATCTGGGAAGAACTGTCTTCCTTTTCTGCGCAGATGGGTAAAGGACAGCCTTGAAGCTGAGATTAAAGGTGCACAGGAAATTCAGGATTGTGGCCGTGACATGCACAGTTGTGTGAGGGAACGTAGGGCCAAAGGCAAGCAGTGCTCAACTTGGACATGGTCTTCCTTGGTCACGAGGTGCACATGTGCATCCTTTCCAGCAACTCTGTCGTTCACCTTGAACCGATTACATCCACATCCTTTGCTAGGACATACGTCAGGGTCCAGCACCTACCTGGACTCCCCATTTCCCATAAGACCTGGGCTGCAGCTTCCCAGAAGGATTCTTCCAAATTGGACACACAACACAAATAGACAAGAGTCACAGCACCGGGTTTTCTCCTGTTCTGAGAAACAGAACTGAGCCTGTTCTGGTTTTCTCTTGTCCAGCATTCACTGAGTGTCTTTGTTCCACGTGTCTTATCTGTACAATGGAGGATTATGGACAAGGTCGTACCAAGATTCTGTGCTTTCTGCCCGCTCTCATGCTTTCCATCAGTAGATGACCATTATTTATTTTTCTTCCAATCCACTGTAAATGTACCATTTAAAAAGCATCACACTAAGACGTCTATGATATATATGCCTGTGTGCATTCATATGTATGTCATATATGATAAATTAAAAATTGTTATTCAAATAGGAAAAGTTCTTCTGTGTAGCTCCAGTACCAAATTACCCCCCCTTGGTGGCACATACACCATGCTGTCTGGGGGGCCCCACTGGACTAGAGGGAGAGCGAAAGTCTTCCCTCGGTGTGAAACCCCAGGGGAGATTTGACCCCCAGTGGAGGGTGGTCACAGCATATAAGAAGCAAAAGAACGAGCCGTGTGCCTCCTGATACCAGTCGCTGTTTTGGTGAGAGTTTGGGGCTTTTAGGTGAGTGCAGGCAACACTTTGCTGAGCGCGGTGGTTAAATTAAGAGATAAGAGAGTGAGTGAGATCACAGTACCCAGCAGGGTAGCCCTTCCCTTACTTTAAATAAGTCCTTCCTGAGGGATAGGCGGCTATTTCTGTGGTAGATCAGAGGAAAGGTTGTCACGGTCAAGACTTGGTTGACAGAAGCTTGGCAGACCGGTCATTTTCTCCAGTAGAGGAGGAAAATGCCCTGATAGGGAATGTTTGGGGCAGGTCAGCAAATGTGTGTTGACTTCACCAGTGTGAATTTCAAGCCTATCTCTTGAATGTTTCAAATAGGCTCCGGCCAGACATGGAGCTTGAACGCAGGGCTTGAACTAACGACCCTGAGATCAAGACCTGAGTTGAGATCAAGAGTCGAGTGCTTAACTGACTGAGCCACCCAGGTGCCCCCCCCCCCATCTCTTGAATATTGAGCCAGATCTTAATGTTTAACCCCAGCTGGCTCCCTTAAGAAAGCTAATATTTGAAAACTTCAATTTGTAAACAGTTCATCATACTGATTTAGAATGATGTCAGCAATCTCGAACATGTGTGTTGTACCCTACAGTGTTCTCAGCATTTTGACATGCATCCCGAGTCTCTGACCAGCCTGGGGGGTAGGGAGCAGGAACTGTGGACGAGTGAGCCAGTGGCCAGTAGAACACAAGTAAACAGTGGCCATGAGATTTCGCTGGATGCACTGACATGAAGCCCAAAGCTCTTTGTCAGTTGCAAAGTTTCCTCATGGTGCTCTGAGTTTAAACTCCAGATTGTGATTATCATAAATGTGGTTTTGGACTTATTATTGTTATTATTTTTATTTTTATCACATCCATAAGCTGGAGCATCCTGTTGTGTGGCAGGTTGCTTGGGAAGTGTTTGCATTTTGGTATTTTCAAAGTGTAGGTCACCAGCCACCTGTATCGGAATCACCTGGGGTGCCATTGCAGACCCCCTGACTTGGCACCACTGGAGGCAGGCTCTGCATTTGATATGCAACAAGCATTCCAGGTGATGCTTGGGATTTTGCTCTCGGTGCAGCAGGTGGACAATCTGTATTACTCTCTGGATGGGAAGACACTGGATTGTTTTAAAGCTCCAATTCTGGGGCTGAGGAGGGGTGGTATGAGAAGGGTAGAATTCTGCCCCTACCAACTCTGCCTTTTCTGGGGAATTCTTTTCTATCCCTATCTGTCTCAATTCATCTCAGAAAAATGATGGGTCATGTGGAGATACATCATCCATCCTTCCATCCATCCTTCCATCCACCCTTCCTTCCTTCCTTCCTTCCTTCCTTCCTTCCTTCCTTCCTTCCTTCCTCCCTCCCTCCCTCCCTCCCTCCCTCCCTTCCCTCCATCCTTCCATCCATCCTTCTATCCATCCATCCATCCATCCATCCATCCATCCAGTGTGCCCAATATGTACCAGGTGCTTGGGGTATAAGAAAAATAAGACATAGTCCTCGACCTTGAGGAGACTAAGTTTAGTTTAGATAGTAGCAAATGTGTAAGAAGAACTGAAGGTGAAAGCTGCCAATTTCACAAACATTTATGGTGGCAATGAATGGGAGATGTATAAAAAAAAGGAAATTTAAAAAACCATCACAGGTAATGCGGAGAGGCTTTGCACAGAGAGCAGAAAACAAGTACCTTTTTATATTATGTAATTCTTCAAAGCACAGAGTTCTCTGAATTTTAGCATGTGCTTCGAGATCAGTCCATGTATTATTTTGCAGTGGAATCCTTTCTTGTCCATGAGTCAGAATCCAGGTGGTTGATGATTGTAGAAACTAGGGCATTAGTGATCATCTCTAACCATTCCTGTAAGGTTGTCTGAGCATTTAACTTTGACACAGGATTAGCAAATTATGATTTCAAGGTCAATTTTCATGGAAAACTCTAAGAACACTCAAGAACTGTTTTCCCACTATAACCTCTGGTTCCAAAGTGCTAGAAAGTCTATTGATTTAAAATTTTTTTTTAAATGTTTATTTAGTTTTTGAGAGAGACAGAACATGAGTGGCAGAGGGGCAGAGACAGAGGGAGACACAGAATCCGAATCAGGCTCCAGGCTCTGAGTTGTCAGCACAGAGCCTGACAAGGGGCTCAAATTCATGGACCATGAGACCATGACCTGAGCTGAAGTTGGACGCTCAACCAACTGAGCCACCCAGGTGCCCTTAGTCTCTTCATTTAAAAACAAAACCTCTCTTCCTTCATAGGAAGTCTATCGTTTTAATATTTTTCTAATGACTTGCATTCAATACAGTAGCATTCATTTACAATGAGAATCCAACCAAGCACTCAGGGTTGAGTGACAGACTTTACTGAAGAGCAATTCACATTGGAACGGATCAACTTAAATGCGGGTTGACCTCAATGTGGTTCGGGGGGCAAGTGCAATGCCGGCTGGATAAGGGCTCTCTTCGGAACGTGGGTATGGTTCTTCTAACCCACGCTGCACGGTGCTGTCCAATGGGACTTCCTGTGGTGAGGACCATGTTCTGCACCTGTGGAAACTGAGCACTTGAAATGTGGCTAGTGTGACTGAGGTGCTGAGTATTTAATTGTATATAATTCTGGTTAATTTAATTTGAATTTAGATAACTGTGCGAAGCATGTCGGATAGTTCTGGCTAAGACAGCACTGTACTACATCAAAGTGGCTTTTTCTTTTCTCTTCCCTTCTCTCCTCTTCCCTTTCACTCTCTGCAGGCACTACCTTGCCTGTCTGTTCCCTTTGCCAAATCCGTGACTACTGAATGCAACAAGAGGGCAAAGCAGACATTAAGGGCGGTGCCTCTCAAAGAGCCATGGAAAACAACAATGAGCAGATGAGGAATGAAGTCTGTGGGCGGGGTGTGGGCGGGCTGGGGCCGAAGGCCCTTGCAGTACAGTCCCTTAGACGTGACTCTTCTTCAGTTTGGCCTCGTTTCCTCTGGGCTCTGGACCCTTGATGGGTGGGAACGTGGAAGGGAGAACCAAATGCTGGTCTTGCAGTCTTGTCTGGTCGTAGCTGCCTAGTAAGTATTCCTTGGCGAAATAAAGGATGTTGGGGTGAGGCAATCACTCCTCCCACTTGGGAGCGGTCTTCCTGTGTTGCCTACTCTACCTCTAAGAACAATAGAGGCGCTAACTGACAAATACTGGGACCATGTTACTCAGCAGGTGCTTATTGGCAGCAGTAAGTATTGTAATGGAAGATCCTGTAGAGTATTGAATATCTGAGCACACTGAAGAGAAGTTGACCTATGACCCCCAGCTGTAGTGGCCAAATGGTTATAATATTATCGGAAAACAGAATCTAACTTACAGGGCGGCAGAAATAGCGATTACGAATCCTAGACGGTAGGAAGCATCACTAAATAAATTTTTTTTTCTCCTCTCAACTTTATAGGCAGTATTGATAAAGCAGGTACATCATTGCCTACCTGGGCCATAATTCTGCTTGCAGTATCATTTTCATTGCTTTTGATCCTGATCATTGTTCTGATTATAATAATCTGCTGCTGTTGTGTCTCCGGGAGAGAGAGAAAAGGTAATTTTTTTTGTTTATATAGATTTGTGTATATATTTGAACGTTTGGTACAAACACTTGTCGGTCATTAGCTCCTTAACTCTTTTGTAAGATGCATTGGCCTTTGGAGCGCACTTTATTTGGAAGCGGGCTTCAGAGAAGGAAAGGATTTTATGAAGAAGGAATACATTGCTTTGGGGCTTGCTGTAACCACTCCCAGAAAGACTGAGATCTGCACACTTTTGAGAGGGTGAAGAGACAGTACCTTTCTCAGCAAAGACACTGACTATTTGAGTTCTGTGCTTATTTGCGAGGATAGAAGGATATTGTAATCTGCCACTTAGATGCTGTGCTTTTATCTAGAATAGAATCTACCTATCTGAGCACGTGAAAAGATTATTTCCTATTTTGTGTAATTCCAAATTGCATTTGGAGGTGAATGTTGATACAGTGGTAGGAAGAAAAAGAAGGTCTGCCAATAAAAATAGTACAAATAAACTTAATAATCACGCATTTCTTCTGAATGAAGTCTTTCGAGGACTCCAAGATATATGAAAGCAGTGGCCTTGTTTGGGGGTCAGGCTTCACAATGGGGTGGGCTCACCAACATTGGGGGGGGGGCTTGTCGTGAGGTTCAGCCATTCGTGACTTCAGAAACCAAAGGATCTTTGTCATGTAGAAGGCTCGGGACTTTCCAAGTGCTGAATGTGTGTGTCCAGCCTTGCCTTTCTTTGTCTCGGAAAACCTCACCTACACCTATTTGAATATTGTCTACACTTAAATTATTTTTCTTACAATCAGACTTCTGATATTAGGCTATGTGTCAGTTTAATTGCATTTAAAATGTCATTAGTAATAATTGCCATTTGATGAGCCCTTTTTTGTGGGTGACCCAGGCACTGTGTTAATTATCTTACATGGACTATCTCTCTTAGATAGTCTATGCAAAGTGCATAGTTAAGCCATATCTAAGCTAATTGCCTAGCCTCAGCCCCTGCATGGATTTGGTTTGGGATTGGGAATTAATTCTGTGATACAACTTTATTCCCTAGGAAACAGAACATGAAAAGTAGTAAGCCTCTGTTGGCCCAGATTTGATGGCAATTTGCTTTAACTTGGGAGTTACCCTATATGCCACAGATGGATTACTCAAGTAAAATACACTGGATTTTAGATGAAAACGATTGGATAACTTAAATTTTAATGTAGACGTGACTAGGATTGTGCAGTGCCTTCAGATTACTATTTTCCACATTAGCTACTGTGGTGTCGTTGAAGGAGCATTCTGTTTATTTGGATTCCTGATTCTCCTAAGCTGTTTTTTGCCTGTTCCATAATAGCCTAGTAGGAAGGTTGTGATGGTTGGTGGCCCAGGTAAGATGTGCACCGGGGGGACTGTCTGATTTTTAGCATTCTCATTTACAAGATGGGGATAAGTGCCATCCTATAGATCGGTCATGAGGACAAAATAAATTGCTACATGAAACTGTTTCCATTTTAGATTAAAAAAAATTTTTTTTACTGTGTTTTATTTTTTGAGAGAGACAGTGTGCTGACAGCACAATGTGGGTCTTGAACCCGCAAACCGTGAGACCATGACCTGGGCTGAAGTTGGACACTAAACCGACTGAGCCACCCAGCTGCCCCTCCACTTTAGATTTTATCCTTTACTTAACTTTGAGATGAAAAGCTCATGTAAGAGTTAGCTGTGTTTATTCCCCTGCGTCTTAACAGGTCCAGGTAAGTGTTGTGAGCAGGGCCTGTGGCGACCTTACAAAGCCCACCCCCATTGGGTGGGACTCACAATGGACACTACATTTCACCTTGACATAAATGGAAAGGATGCAGTGAAGGCCTGGGTTTCCCCCATGACAATTATTTCCATCCTTAAAAATGGCAAGCATCAAGTTGTTTTCAGAAGTATTTTCTGGCACTTTGCTTTGCTGATGCCTGGAGAATTCTCAGTGGTCTGACTGGTTAACTGGAGACCGACTGAAGAGAGCTGAGGACCCCACTAAGTGTGGCCTGAAGGCCTTGGGATTGTTTCTGCTAATAGAGCAAAGAAGCCAAGAGCCCATCTCCTGCAGCCCATTCCTTAAGGAAACAATAGTGACATTCTGTGTCTCTCTTTCAATTCAAATAAGATTGCTTCTGAAGTCCAATTTGGGGTGTGAATTGGCAGATGATATTACGACTGGAAGTAAGTGGGAATATTCTCTAAAAATAAGGAAAATGAATATATTTTAGATCTCAGTAAAGCTTTTTTTTTTACATTTTTTTATAAATGTTTGTTTATTTTTGGGAGAGAGAGACAAGAGTGTGAGTGGGGAAGGGGTAGAAAGAGAGAGGGAGACACAGAATCCAAATCAGGCTTTACGCTTTGAGTTGTTAGCACACAGCCTGATGCAGGGCCTGAACTTACAAACCTCGAGATCATGACCTGAGCCGAAGTTGGACGTGTAACCGACTGAGCTACCCAGGTGCCCCTGTAAAGCTTGATGAATAGAAGGCCTAGACAGGACAGCAGAGTTGCAAAGAACACTGGCTTTTGAGACAGATGATTGGAGACTGGAGCGTGACTCTGTTTCTCTCTACTTTCGAGTTCTATGTCCTCTCCAGTCCAAGAATCCTTTGATTAAAAGCATCAGCAATTTAATGACAGCTCAGGGTGGTGGGGGGGGGAAGGGGATCCACCTCTATGAATCGATACCATTGGTACATGTTGATTGAAAATGAATTCTAGAATTAAGTAAATGCAGTGCTTAAGCAATGTAATTCCTTATTTGTTAAAGTATGATAATACAACATGATAGTGTCTAGTTTGTTAATAATATGATGACACTAATACCTATCTCTTGGGTTGTAATGATTAAATGAGATAAGTGCTGGCACACAGTAAGTACTGAATGAATGACACTAGGGACTGGGAATGCAGAATGCCTCTCCCTGGTGAATGGAGTCTTTGTAGTCTTGCTAGTCAAATTCAATATTCACTAAATACTTATTAGGTACCTACTATACTACAGGTACCTAGGAATTATTTATGTTTATGATAGTTAATAGTGAATTCTACTTCCTTTATGCTTGAAAGTCATTTGATTATTCGCTGTGGGGGAACTTAATAATACCTAATGGGTCACAGATACTCAGCAATGTATTTAATCGGCGGGCGGGGGGTGTCTATAAAAACTGATGATATTTTATTTTGTGATTTTGTAATATGTGATTTTGTTCCTTTTTTTCCCCCAGAATCTAGTTATCAAAGTGAAATAAGGTAAGTTTGAAATCACATCACTTTCCTGAAAACAAAGACAAACAAATGAAAAACAACCAAACAACACCAACTCTACCACCACTAACACACACACAACTGTGGTGTTTCAGGATTATGTTACTCAAAATTAAGTACTGAAAGTGAACGACTCTGAAAAACACATAGGCCAAACACAAACTCATATGGCAAAATTAATCATAGAATAAAATAGGGGCTGGTTACTGCCTAAGTTTGACTTGCCCTGGCTCACTTAGGAAAAAGGAGATTTTCTACCTGGTGTCTGGCATTTACAACTCTTTCCACAAGAGGACACTAGGCGCCTGCACTGTGACTGTTGGCCCTCCTGTTTTTAGTCAATGCAAGGGACTCAAGGAACATTTCAAGGATATTAAAGAACCATGTAGAAATCCTGCTGCAGTTTCTGGGGCGGTGGAGAACAGTGGGGCCAGCTGGATGGCTTCAGGCACATGAAACTGACCAGACAGACAAATTAGGTAGTGTTTACTGCTTGTACCACTGATAGGGGAGGGGATAGAAAAATTACTGACATTCCCATGGCCGTCCAGAAGTAGCCGCAAGCACTTTGAAGGTAGCCGTGTCAAGGACCTACAGTAATACAATAACTAGTTTAAATGTCTGCAATATTTATACAAGTATAAATGCGCTAAGGGGAAGGATTTTTAAACAGCAGTGATTTTGGTGGGGGTGTTACAGCCAAACCGTGTCTAATTTTCACTATTTTATTATATAATTTTCATTTTTGATAGGCTGTGGTTTAAAAATACCTTTAGGCTACACGCGGTGAATGAAGATGTGTGTAATCATTGTGTAACAGACACTAGCTGTTTTCCCTTTGACCCTGGTCACTCCCCGGTGATAATGCGGTATTGGGAGAGGCAGCTGCGGTCTCCCTCAGGACACCACAAAGCAGCAATCTGAAATGACACCTCCCTTGGGGGCTGACTTAGGGCAAGAGGAGAGGAAGGCAGACTCACTCTAATAATTATTCTGGTATTTCTCAGCCTGATGGCAGCCTGGATTCTTCCGTGGACCTTATTGACTTCGTAACATCTTTCACTTGTGTTCTCTGGGATATTAGCTGATTTCAAAACATAGGACACTGGTCAGCAGCGATTCGGGGACACGGGTAGAGAATAAGAACTACTGACAGCAGCAGCAACAATATGGCAGTAGTGATGACAACAGCTGGTTTATCCCAAGTGCCGAACACACGTGCCAGGTGCTGTTCTACACGCAGTGGAGCCCGTTTTCTCGCCGGATGCTCATGATGATTTTATGGGCCATTTCTTCATTTTGTAGAGGAGGAAACTGAGGGGTACAGAGAGGTTAAGTAGTGTGCCCCGGGTCTCCCATCTGGAGAGTGGACGGTCAGGATGTGAGTGAGGCCGTCCTGCTCAGGGCCTGGACCTTGCCCCTGTGCAGCTCTCGCACTTAGATCTGAGTGCATTAGGTCTGGGGAGCAAAGATGGGGAGACTCACTGGGACCCCCATATCCTAGCTGCTTTCCCTGCACTGTGCCAGCTGTGCTGGCTCCAGCTGCTTTCAGACGTCTTCTGCAGTAAAATAACATACTTCTTCCTCTAGAATCAATGCATGTTTATTATAGAAAAAATTAAAAATACAGTTTAAGAAAATATATTTATTTATTTTTGGGAGAGTGCAAGTGGGAGAGGGGCAGAGAGAGGGAGACAGAGGTTCTGGAACGGGCTGTGCGCTAACAGGCTTGACGGCAGCAAGCCCGATGTGGGGCTCGAACTCACGAACCGAGAGATCATGACCTGAGCTGAAGCTGGACGCCCAACCGACTTGAGCAACGCTCAGCCCAAGTGCCCCAAACGTATCGTTTTGTTTATTTGTTTATTTATTTATTTATTAAAAAAGATTTTTTTTTAACGTTTATTTTTGAGACAGAGAGAGACAGAGCATGAGCAGGGGAGGGTCAGAGACAGGGAGAGACAGAATCCGAAATAGGCTTCAGGCTCTGAGCGGTCAGCACAGAGCCCGACGTGGGGCTCAAGCTCACGGATTGCGAGATCATGACCTGAGCTGAAGTCAGCCGCTCAACCGACCGAGCCACCCAGGTGCCCCCAAACATATCGTTTTAAGAAATGATTTTGAAATCACCCCTAATTCTATTGTTCAGAAGTAGGTATTGTCACCTGAGTATGTATATGCTCACTTGATGTATATGCACGCATCGAAGCGTTCACGTCGATACACACACACATGCATTTTGTAAAATTTGGACCATAATAAACCTTACTTCATAACTTGCTCTTCTCTCTTGAAACTCTTCTGAAGATTATTTCCGTTGACAAATACTTGCCGGCCACATTTTTGCTTCATTTGCTTAATATATCTTACTGAAGTGTGAGTACAGAAAAGTTCACAACTCACGGGTGCATTGCTTGATTACCTTTCATAAGGCATATGGGCCTTGAGTGGGGCCATGCAGAACTAGAACACCCCTAGCGCCCCAACCTCCCTGCCCCCCCACATCGCTGCCTCTTCCTCAAATGTTACGTCTTCTGACCTCCATCCCCACATCCCCAGAGATCAGATTCATATGAACTTTGTGTAAATGGAATCATGTCATGTGCACTCACTGATTTTGGTTTTCACCCTGTGAGATTGGTCCGTGTTGTTCAGAGAAGATGTGGATGGTTGATTATGTTACGGTACCACACACTGGGTATATATGCCATTTATCTTCTCCTTTTCCCTTTAAATGGGCATTTGGATAGTTTTCAGGTTGGGGTCATTATAAATACTGTGGCACTAAGCAATTTAGCATGTATCTTTGGTGACATGTTCATAAGTCCTCATTCCTGTTTTGTATTCAGTTGGGTATGTGTCTACTGGTGAACGCTGGGCTGCAGGGTAGGCAGGGTAGACGATTCTGTCATCATCCAGTTTTCTGAAGTAGGTGCACCTGTTTATACTTTTACATGCGGTGCGTGAGTGTTCTCATCAGTAATAACTTTTATAGGTGGCATGGAATTTCATTTTAGAGATGGATTGTCATTTATTTTACAGTCCCCTAGGGTGGGACGTGTGGACTGTTGGCAGCTTTTGCTGTCATAAAGCGTTCATGAGTGAACATTCTTTTAAGTAAATCTTTGCCCATATCTTTGGCCATTTCCCTATAATACATTCTTAATGGTCGAGCATGAATATTTTTAAGTCTTTGGATACCCATTGCCAAGCTTTCCTCCCCTGGGCAGCTGCACCAATTTTTACTTTATTGTGGAGATTGGCATACCTTTTCTTTAAAGGGCCAGATAGTAAATATTTTTGGTGTTGTGGGCCACACTGTCTGTCACAATTACTCAGTTCTGTTGTTGTAACATGCAGGCAGCCATAAATAACATGAAAGTGGACAGGTGTGGCTCTGTTCTGATAAAACTTTATAAAGGGGCGCCTGGGTGGCTCAGTGGGTTGTCGTTGGCCAACTCTGCTTAATTGGGTCACTGGTTTCTGGGGGTGGACTATCGACTGGGGAATGGTGCCCACGGGGCTCTCGTGATAAGGTTCCATCTCTCCCCACCTCAGTGGGAGTGTGAGCAGGCAGACCACTTGCATAGCTGTGCTGGTGGCGATGAGCATCTGTCCTGATGCGGTGGTAAGTTCAGTGTGCGAGGATGCCCTGGGTGGAGTAGTGTGAACCAAACATCCACTACTGATTAACATTTGGCTTTTAAAAATGGTCTGATTCCAGGAAATCTGCAAGTGTGAAGACAAACAAAGAAACTTTTGAGACAAACTTAGAAAGTGGCAGTGAAAACCTGGGCTACCATTCAGATGAGCCACGGACGGCAAGTGAGTGGTCGGTGGGGCCGTGGGAATACCCGAAGGGGCGTGTGGAGGAGGGGCTGGCCAGCTCAGCACCAGCTGTGCAAGCCAGAGGACTTAGCCATTCCTGGGCATTGTTCTTTGAGTAATTTTCAGAAGAAGGAGAAATTTCAGAACTAGTAATATTCTAGTAGGCAAACAGTCTACCTATTTGTCCAAAGTTTAAAGCAAAGTGGGATGACAGTTTAAGGACTTTAAAATAAACTTTCTGTTTTCATGTTCTCTTTGGATATAACCTTCTACCTTTAGTAAAGTATGTGAGGAGGCATTTTAAGACATTGAGGGTCACTTCCCCAAAACTTCAAATAAAGGTGAGACTCCGCAAGAAATCCATTCCTATTGAGCTTTAGAGGGAGTGGGAGAATGTTGAGAACAAAACCTAACTTTGAAAAGTCTTTGTGGCACCTGAATTCTTACCTTTACAGGACACAGTCCTAGTGAGGGCATCTTGGAAGGCTCGGGCACTGGTTAGTGGCAGGGATCTTCCAGAAGGCAGATGAGAGGGGAAGGGAGTACAAATGGGTTGGAGGGGGAGACCTGGCCCTTCTAAGTTGCCTAGAAAATCAAATTCCATGGAAAGATGTTTCATTAATCAGTTCTTACTGACAGGATCCCCCCAAAATTGTTTTCACTAAGATTGGGGCTGTGCTCATGTCCCATCTCTCCCACTTTGCCATGGCCGCCTCCCATATCTATTCAAAATGGCTCACTTAAGATTTTTAAAAATTCCATGAAGCGCGACTGGTTCCTTTTTTTTTTTTTAAAGTTTATTTATTTATTTTGAGACAGAGTGCGCACGAGGTGCAGACAGAGAGACAGGGAGAGAGAGAGTCCCACACTGTCAGCACGGAGCCTGACTTGGGGCTCAATCTCACGAACCGTGAGATCATGACCTGAGCTGAAATCAAGAGTTGGTCACTTAACCGACTGAGCCTCCCGTGCACCCCTTGACTGTTTCCTTTCATAATCGGGTCACAGCTTAACATTTCCTGTAGGAGAATATTTATTTCTTAGTGTTTTGAGCAATTAATCGTGTAGCTTGACCAAAATCATAGCCCAAACCAAACCTATCTTTTTTTCCCCTCTTTTGCCCTGTGTTTATTTACCTTGGTCAGCATTACAGCTATGGATTCACCTTGTCTCTGGATGAGACTAATGAGTCAAGGAAGAGCTTGATTGTGAGTTTGCCATATTTTTATTTCATTAGAAAGGTAGGAGTTGCAAAGTATGTAACCTCAGGGTTAACTCTAAAAACAATCTGTTTATGGTTAAAGATTACTTTATGCCAGGGTTACTATATAAAAACAAATGCGTTTCCTTCTAAATCAAAATTGTGAGAACGTGTTATTTGGGTTTTGTCATTTATCACTCTAAAATCCTTCTTCTGTTTCAGAACTTGCTTCTTTTGCTCCAGTGTCCTCTGAATCCAGTGTTCAGGAACAACACAGCAGTAGGCAACCTTATCAGGTGATTCAGACCATTTTACCCATTTTGAGACTCTTTTTTTTTTTTCCCCCCGTTAACAACCCTTGCCTGGTGGTAGGTGATTATAAAATCATGCCTGTTTTATGCTCATGATGGAAGAACATGGCCTTTGCTCACTGGTCAACCTGTCAACACGGAGGGAATGGGCCAGGACATGTAGTATCTCTTGGCCTTCGTAGTGGGTTTGGGGGGAAGATCAGAAGTGTAGGTGGGGGCTTATAGATCTTGGGGTATCTCTTACATGAGGGTGCAGGTGTATGTACAGGTCTGGAGCTCCAGTGGGGGAGCAGAGGTGGTAGGTATTGTTGGTTGTTAGGCAAACTCTGATGGTCTCCATCCTTCCAAAGCGCACATAAAGAACATAGTCACCCAGGAACCGTGACGACACAGTATGTTACTTTTCTGACACAGAGTCGGTGGTGGTTGTCACAGATGAGTTAGAGTGCCTGCACAGAAAATACAATTCTTTGCATAGGCATAGTCATATTAGGCAAAATATGTATTTTCTGACCATTTATTGACCTGCACAAAGGCACCTTGAAATGAGAAACACTTCGATGTGACTCTGCAGTGGTGTCCCCGATATGGATGAATGTTCTCCCCTTTGGCTTTTGGAAAAGGCCCACTGGCAGATTGGGATCCCGAAAGCACTCAGGGTCCCAAAGCACTCAGGGTCCGAGGTCTTGGCCGCATTCTGACCGGGAGTCTCTATCAGCCTGAGGTGCTGCTGCTGGGAGTGCCTTCCTAGACCCATTGTTCTTTGTATGCGTAGATATTGACTTGGGCTTCCGGGCAGCTCCAGGCCATGATATTCCTCTCAGCAGCTGGGATTCAGCTCAGTCCATACATCTTGTCAGTGATGTGTGCCTCCTGGGCCTTTGGGGGTGGGTGGGGGGAGGTGAGGTTTGATTGATGCTCATGCATGTATTAAGAGACCTAAATGGTCTCAAAAGAGTGGTAGCCAGGTGGGAAGACATATGGGGGGGGGGTGTGTCTGTGGCACGAAAGAACATGGGCCTACGTGATAAATAGTTGAGTTCCTGGTACAAGTTCAGGCTATTTCCCTAGGGTGAGTGTCGGGAAAATGGAGAGGTAAATTTCTTCCCATCTAATCTGCTCTCTTTGGCACATAGATCTTCTGATGCATTTAATCTGGCCCTGGGTGAGGTGGCTTGTGGAGACACAACAGATTCCCTTTCCAGGGGCCATCTCTTGACTAAGGGGGGGGGCTGACCCAAGAGAGTAATCACCAGGCTGTGAAGGAGCCTATCAACCCTCTAAGACTGGACCTGAGTGGGGGCCATGGGCTGATGGAGGGGTTCTCTTTGCTCAGAACCAAGCACGGTCGTCCAAGAACACGTTTACTCCAGCCCTTATTTCTGTGGTTACCTTTTACTGTCAGGTGTCTTTCCACTGGACAAGCCAAAGTGCTTACGTCTGGCGTTGGGTGGGGGGCATTGGGATAAGTGGGGAGGGGAGTCAGAAGAAGTCACGTAGATGATCCCCCCCTGAAGTAGAAATGAGGACATGGGAGAACTCTAGATGCATTTGGATACAGGAATGGAGAATGACGTTTCAGAGCTTAGAGTGGATCCTTCTTGAGTTTGAAGTGTTTTGAAAATACGCGGGGAGAGAAACTTGAGAAGTTTCTGCTACTTAAACGTGTTATCAGCTAAATAATCTATTGGTGGAAAAAGAACAGTGGCCTTGAGGTGCTGGGCCCTGGGGGACTGTCACACACACCTGTGTTTCTTGAAGTGTCTGTCAGTTTTCTAGGGGAAGGCTCATCTCGGCCCAGAGCATCAGGGTCCTTAAGAAACCAACAGAACACAAGGAAGATGAGCTGTTCTTGCCTGGATTAGAAGCTGGCGAGAGGCTATTTAAATAGCTGGATTCTTCTGTTTAGAGTTGGGGAACTTCAAGGCAAACCCTGTTTTGAAGAGTCCACCTTTGATCAGTAACCAGAGGGTGCCTCTGCAGGTGCGGGCCCAGGCACTGTCTGCAGGTTGTCCATTTGGAGAACCCGGACGCAAGATGTACCGTGGGGTATACTTTCCATGAGCACTTTGGGAAGGGAGGGAAGAAGGCAGATGGTAGAGCAAGTGGCCGAGCCTAGGGGCCCTCGGCCCAAAGAGGACATATTCTGCACGTGGTCAACTGGCCACTCGAGAGCTGCCAAGAGGCCACGCCGCTGCTTTCTAGAAACAGGTCAAGGTGACTTGCAGCACAGAGGTTCCTTTTAGAACTTCCCCAGGCCAGGCCTGTAGCCCTGCCAGGTCCGTGCATCCGTGTTCATGCTGTGCAGCCCGAGGAAGACCTTCGTCAGAGCTCATTAGGCCTCACTGAAAGATGACAGTGCAATCTGCACTTTCTTTTCTCATAGGCTCTCTCCGTTCTGTAGTGACCCCTAAAGGCCCAGGAGAGGCTTCTGAGAGCTACTCAGAGCTCTTTCATTTGTCTTTCATCCCGGCCTCTTCTCCAGAGACCTCAGTGTGACTCCAGCCTGTGACAGAGCCACCTGCGCCACTGTTGGGTGTTTCCATGCTCATGGGCCCCGGTGGGACTCCTGCCCGTAAAGCTGGCTTGTTGGAGTTTAGGATTGTGGGCTACAGACTACGTGATTGTGCAGAAAATCTGCACCAGCCTCGGCTCCTCAAAAGCCCGTAGCTTCAGCTGAGACATGTCCAGCTGGGAGTCAGCCTGCCCAAAATCTCTTCCCGGTGTTCTCTGCATGGAGCTCGTTGGGGCAGATGCATATCCTATCCATGGAGGCATGGTGTGCACAACACCAGCCGAGGCTCCTGTTTTGTATTAATAGGTCTCACAGTGGGGTGATCTTGGTTTTGCCAGCAGCTCAGCAACCGTTGAGTACGTGCCCTCGTTCTCTTTTCGTGCTGGCTCTCTCGTCTGCTCAACCTGCTGGTGTTATGTTAACTCAGCATTTTCAGATCTTAACTGGTGGCCCAGGCCTACGCACAGTCTAGCACAGCGTTACTGGGTGCTCATTAAAAGCTATGCACTGATGTGGAGAATGTCTTCAGTGCTTAGCCGTATGCTGTCACGAGCAAGGTGATACAAGGAGTGTGTGTGCGTGTAGATGCGCTCCCTTTGCAGATAATCACAACCTGATCACCCCAAGACATTTGTTAGACAGGTATAAAGGAGGACGCACCATAAAAATACTGTGTTTGGGGTTCATTGAAGAAAAGTAAATAAGTCCATGTCAGATTGCCACTTTGCTCTTGGGCACTTTGGTTTCCTTCAAGATTATCCTGTTCAAACACAATCTGAGGAGGAGGGAGCCTGAAGGGCCAGGGGCTGCACTCAGGAATCATTGATGTGGCCTTTGGGATGCCCAGACTCTTCGTCTTACCTGTGGACCTCCTGGCTCAGTGGACTTGGGATGCAGCCTCAGAGCGTCTGAGTTTTGGACAAGACAGGGCGGTTGTCTAGGTGGTGAAGTCTAAAGGCAATTGGCTACCTTATAACGAGCTGGAAATGAGGGGCTGCTGGGAGAGACAGTGGAATATTTCCAGTGACCAACTTGCCTACTTTGTGATGATTATTTGCTAGCGTCCCAGGGCATTCACGACACCCAGGTTACGTACACCGGGTAGCAGTTACACCGGACCTTTCCCGAGGGTGGAGAGCACCTGTGCTCTTATTGGAGTCATGTGGATCTTCTATAAGTAGAGGAGGGTCCAGCCCCCGAGCCCTGCGTGTGCCCACACTGGCTCAGGGACCAGAGAAGTGTCCCAAGGAGCAGGCAGCGTCTTTGGGCCACTCTTCTCCTCGCCTTCAAGACTGCAACTTCTGGCTCCACCCAGAGTCCACGTCTGTGTCTGATCTCCAGGTTGTGGTGAACCTCCACGTGCCACGTCTTTGTTGTGCAGCACAGGCATGATTTTAATTACATTCTATGCCCAACAGTTACTAGAGCAGGAAATTGGAATTTTAATACTTACGAGGGGCATTTGTGGCTGCACCAGCCCCCATAACTCTTGCCCCATCGATACCTTCTGATTGAGGTCCAAAACACAGGAGGCCCACACTGCCTTGGGGAAGATCAACCTGAGACGTCATGGGGAACCTCTTTTTTAGGATCTCTCATCGTGTCCAGATGCTTTCGGTGCTGACAGCCCCGAGAAAGCTTCGGAGGGGTGGGGGCTCTGCTCAGGGACAGGCTGGCATGAGTCAGGTCCATTGGTGACCCTGGGGTGTAATCACAGGAAAAGGTACCTGCTGGCTCTTCTGGGTCTCCCTCTCTGGCTCATCCCCACCTGTCAGCCCACTGCCCTGCTAAGGTCTGCCCTGAACACAGGACTCTTCACCAGAGGCTGAGAGATGGGGGCAGTACTTGTTCCTACCAGCAACTGGCAGAAAGGGAGGATGTGTTTCCAGGATCCAGGATCCCAAGGAATGCTTGCTGAGCCTGGAGGCACAGCCAGCACCTGTAAGTTCCTGTGTCTTGGTACCTTGCTGGCTCAGCAGTGGCTCTCAGTGGAGTGGTATACCGGAAGCTCTTCGGGTATTTGTTAAAATGCAAAGTCCTGAGCTTCTTCCAGCCTTTCTGGATCAGAACCTCTGGGAGATGGGGCCAAAGAATGGGTGTTTTTACCATGTTCTCCAGGCGATCTGCTTTGACGACAGTATTTTAGTGGCCCCACATGAAAACGGAAGACATGTACAGCCTGTTTCTTTTTTTTTTTTTTTTTTTTTTTTTTTTTTTTTTTTTTTTTTTTTTTTTTAATTTTTTTTTTTTTTCAACATTTATTTATTTTTGGACAGAGAGAGACAGAGCATGAACGGGGGAGGGGCAGAGAGAGAGGGAGACACAGAATCGGAAACAGGCTCCAGGCTCCGAGCCATCAGCCCAGAGCCTGACGCGGGGCTCGAACTCCCGGACCGCGAGATCGTGACCTGGCTGAAGTCGGACGCTTAACCGACTGCGCCACCCAGGCGCCCCTGTACAGCCTGTTTCTAAGGGCAAGTCACTGCTGAGTGCTGGGGTTTTTCTTACACCTGTGCACTGGGAATGACTTCTACTCCACGAGTGTGCCACCAAGTAGGTGGCTAGGCAGTGCTGCGAGGAGCGTTAGATGGAAGGGTCTGGATACCGAGACACTTTGCAGTCTAGGCTGCACTGTAGTTGGGGTAAACTTATTTCTTAATGTTTATTCATTTTGAGAGAGAGAACATGAGCAAGTGAGCATGTGAGCAGGGGAGGGGCAGAGAGAGATGGAGAGAAAGAATCCCAGGCAGGCTGCTTGCTGTCGGCACAGACCCCGATGTGGGGCTTGATCTCACAAACCATGAGATCATGACCTGAGTGGGACGCTTAACCGACTGAGCCACCCAGGCACCCCAGGGGAAAGCTTTTTTAAACCTCTTATGTTTTAAGTGGGTCCAAAGGCATACTGCATTCACTCTGGATGAAAGAAAAAACAGGATTTTAGGCTGCAGAGACCCCAAGAGCATGTATTAAATTGTAGGAAAGGTCAGAAAGGAAAACAAGAGAGTGATTTTCAGAAGTTACAGACACCAAAATGTGACACTTCTTTCCCCTGATGATTCCTATCCAGGCTGGATTTACGGTTAGGATACATAATACTGACTTTATATTCTAGAAAGGAGTTGACGTTGGTGAAGTACAATAAACTTAGGTATAACTGCCCGTGAAACACGTTAGGACAAAACTAATAAATAAAACTAGAGGGGCGGCTGGGTGGCTCAGTCCATTGGGCCTCCAACATCGGCTCATGTCATGATCTCGCAGCTTGTGGGTTCGAACCGCATGTCGGGCTCTGTGCTGACAGCTTGGAGCCCAGAGCCTGCTTTGTTGGGATTCTGTGTCTCCTTCTCTCTCTCTGCCCCTCCCCGGCTCATGATGTGTCTCTCTCTCACAGAAAAATAAATAAATATTTAAAAAATTAAAAATAAATAAAAATAAAATGAGAAATTCTTACTGACAATTATAGCCAGTGGGAAGGGCAAACACCATTTTTTTTTAATATGATGTCATGGGGTTTGCAAATATTTTGCATCTTGATCAATAGTTAAAACCAAGAAGCCTCCTTTTCCTCTCCTCTTTCCGGGCCTCAACTCACTGTCAGTCAATTTTTCTGTTTATTTTGGGCAACTCTGTCCCTTTCTCTCCGGAGTATGTCAGTTTTGAAGGGTGAACGCTTGAACAACTTGAAATGTGGATCGACTCTTCCCCGCGAATCACCACCCTCCTGAGATCAACAGAAACAAACTCTTGATAAATTTAGAAAACAGCCAGGCGTTAGTGCAGCCCAGTCGTGAAAACAAAAGGCAAATAACAACTGCAAAAATGTCGGGCATATTTACTGCAGAAACCCACTTCCTAGAGCACGTTGCTGAGGTGGCTCCGTCAGCCTCCTGTTTTCCCTGCCTGACCAGGAGTCACCAAGTTCAGACCACGAGCCTGAGTGATTCTATCCTGCAGACTTACTGACATTCCATTGCAATGTCAATAATGCATGGTGCCCGGTTGCATTATTTAGGATGTGCAGTGCGGCTGCGGTACCCTGGAACCTGAGATGGCACTCTCAGGACTGGCAGGAAAACATATTGTGTGTTTTTTAGTAGGGCAGTATAGTCAGGCAGGCACTGGTCCCTCTGGAAGAGTGTGTGGTTTGCCGGGGATCACACTTCCGAATGAGAACAGAACAGCAAAGATGGCATTTCTGGCAGGAGGCAGCAGCCTGGCTGCCCGAGGAGACAGATGAATGATCTGTGCCCCTGTCCTGTAGAAGGAATGTGTGTTATTAAAGAAGGTTAGAAATCTATCTATCTATCATCTATCTATCTATCTATCTATCTATCTATCTATCTATCTAAATGTCTTTATTTTGAGAGAGAGCATGAAAGGAGGAGGGGCAGAGAGAGAGAATCCCAAGCAGGCTCCACGCTCTGTGTGGAGCCTGATGTGGGGCTCGATCCTGCAACCCTGGGATCATGACCTGAGCTGAAATCAAGAGTTGGATGCTCAACAGACTGAGCCACCTGGGTACCCCCCCGAAGGTTAGCAATATTTTATATTTTCATATGGAAGTTAGAATTTCTATAGGAAGATTGAAAAAAAAGAAAGAAAAGAAAACAAACCAGAACAGCACATCTTTGTGGTACTTTGCCTCTATACAAACGAATATCAGATTCTTTGACCTGCGTTGCTCATGTGGCCCTGAGCTCGGAAACTTCGGGCGTGCGTGGAAATACTGACATAAAGGAAGGATGTGCGTTAACATTTTTGCTTCCTCTCTGGGTCCTCGTTTCTTCTTATCTGATGAGTGGAGGTTTCTTCTCAAGTGTGCCTTTTCCGTCCATCTCCACTGATTAAATCCACCCTCTTCTCTTGTCACCAGGGACCTGACCGCCGGTGGCGGGGTCCAGCAGGTCGCCCGCAGGTTTCCTTTCCCGTGGCCAGTCCTAGGACCGTGAGGAATGTAACTTTGGTCTAGCGAAGACGTCCCTCGGGTTCCATTCTGCACATGGCTGATAACATGCATCACGCCCGCGTTGTCCTTCCTCTCTGTCCCAAGGCTGGGCTCCCGCTTCGCCAGTGTTACCGGGAAGCAGTGATGCTGGAGTAATCGGAATGGACACTTTATCGTGAAAGAAGGGGTCCGTTTCCCCACCTTTCAGCATAGAATTTGGTTTTCAAAACATTTCACGATTTTAGTGAATTCCACCAAGTTGCTGAGTAAAAGCTACGAGTCCATCGTGGTGATTTACTCGTCACTGGACACTCCTTCTTGCTCTCTAATAAATGGCAGATAAGCCTATATCATACCATGACTTTTAAAATATTTTTGTTATTGTAATCATATGAATACAATATTTATGTATGTTTAATATGTGGGACATTATTGTATATTGTTTGTGAAAAAAAGAGCATACATATTAGGATCAATCAGAAATCTAAGATTGCCTGGGAAATCAGAACTCATAGGTTAAGAAAAGATTAAGTTCAAAGCCGACGTACACATTGTGGATATTTCCATGAAGACATTCACTTTTGTCTGCTCCTTATCAGGCTCCCTCTCCAATGAGTTAGATGTGGATTTTGCTTTGTGGGGGATGTAACTTATATACCACAAATGCCATGAAAACACTGGAAATGGGTAACGTGTTCTTTAATAAATAAAAGAGAAAACACCAAAAAATATGTATTGCCTCTCTTAATTTCTTACTATTCAGGTGGTAGTTTAAGGAATCATGATGTTTAGGAATCAAACATTTCTAAAAAGCAACATGAGATGTCTGAAAAAAAAAAAAAAATCAAAGGGCGCCTGGGTGGCTCAGTCGGTTGAGCATTCGACTTCGGCTCAGGTCATGATCTCACAGTCCGTGAATTCGAGCCCCACGTTGGGCTCTGTGCTGACAGCTCAGAGCCTGGAGCCTGCTTTGGATTCTGTGTCTCCCTCTCTCTCTCTGCCCCTAACCCACTCGCATTGTCTCCGTCTCTCTCAAAAATAAATAAACATTAAAAAATTTAAAAAATCACATTTTCATGTTAGTCTTTGACTACTGTACATTTGCCCCATAAAAGTTAATACGAGGGGCTCCCAGGTGGCTCAGTCGGTTAAGTGTCCGACTCTTGATCTCAACTCAGGTCTGGATCTCAGGGTCGTGAGTTCAAGCCCCATGTTGGGCTCTGCACTGGGCATGAAGCCTACTTGAAAAAAAGCAGTTAATATGAATGTTGTTATTAAGAAAAAAATTTGTCTTTTCCAAATATTGCTTTTTCGTGTAGATATTGTCAGTACATTTCACTGCCTACCCATCTCTTCATATTTACCCCGGAGACAGGACAGGTGGCTGAGTCCTGCACCAGTTGGTACAAATTTCTGTGATGGTTAGTAATTAGCAACTGCTCAGTAATTAACGACATGCCCAACCATGGACTTGCTAAAGTGGAATTTGACTTTTAAAATGGGTTAAGATTTTAGTGATTCCTTGGAGTTACTAAGTAAACAATGTACATTTATCGTGATGACGTTTATCACTTAACACTGCTGCCTGCTAATCCAATCAATGGTGGACAAACCTATATACCACCATGACTTATAAAATATTTTTGTATCTGAAATCACACTCAGCCTCTACCCTGAAGGCTTTCATGTGAATCAACAACTAATTCCAGAGCTATCTGCTGGTGCAGATGTCTAATTCACTGGCACTCATACAGTATCTGCTCTGATTGGCTGGTGTTCATGCCTTACTGGTTGTCCAATATTTTGAGTATCACCACTGCCTAGAGGATCCTGAAGAAAATGCCATCTCTTCTAGCACTGTGTCCCTAAAGTGAGGGAATTGGCCACCTCTTTCTCTTCGAAGTAGAGCTAAAATGCAAAATTTCAAAAACCCATGACGATCACTAGATCACTTTCCTAAGATAACTTTTTATGAAAAAAGTTGCTAATTCACCTGCTTCAAAATGAGACTCTTATTCATTATAACTTCTTAACTCTCTGCCAGTGTGTTTCTGTCGTCCATCATCATCCTTGAGTGGGTACAAGTCAAGGGGAAAGACAAGAGTTTCAGAAGACCTTTTGGACAGAGCTGTTCAGTGAGTGAACTCTGTATTCTTTACTTCATGGTTTGCTCTCCCGAAACCTTCACAGAACCCAGATCCTGAGACAAGGCAAATGTCATGTCATTTATGCCTTTTGTAACCTTTACAGGCGCTAGCGTTCTTGTAGGCATTGAGTAAATATTGAGATCAAACAGGGCAATATTGAGAAAGACAATATATTGAAGTGTAATGAATATTTGCCATCTGCCTGCTATAAGAATTCCATTTTGGTGGTTGTTTTAGGAATCAGTGGGAGTTGCATGGGAAATATAATTGAACTTTAAGTTCTGAACTCTGGAGAGCAATGCCAAGTGATTTTCATGGAAACTGCTTCAACTTCGTTGGTGCCTGTTGCCTCAAAATATTTATCAGTCCCTCGGGAAGTTTCTGTGTCACTAATGAGCTATTTCCTTACTGTAGCTTATTCCAGAAGTAAGTTTCCTCAAAGGGACCCCCAGCCAGTTTTTATTGCACAGGAGGTGAATAAGTTATTTGAACAGAACTGTCTATAGCTGTCCTGCCCAATACCATAGCACAAGTGGCTATGCACATTTAGGTTATTTGGAATTAAATAAAATAGAAGATCCATTCTCTAAGTCCCACCAGCCACATGTCAAGTGTTCAATAGCCACACGTGGCTAGTGGCTACTGTATGGGACAGTGCAGGTGGAAGTTTTTCACTGCTGCAGAAAATTCTATAGGATAGTCCTGACCTAGAGCTAGCTATTTGGAAATGACCTTGATTTGTCCAGGATGGGCTCTTTTACACAAACACTCAATTGGTGTTTTCTGTCAGTGTTATGTCTGTGTGCTTGCTAGTTTCTATTTAGGAACCTGTAAACCCCAAGGCGGCTCTCAACTGAAAATGGTATTTTGCTGATGTGGTAAATTCATCTCTTACTTCTGCAACGCAGAGAGCTGAAGCATGCCCAGGGGGATGCGGTGAGAGGGGTCAATCATGGCTAAATGTCACGGCCAAGGGTGTTCTTCAGAAAGACAGACATGGCTACTGCTAATGAATGGCCATGAGGCTGCAGGTTTACTTAAACAAATACCTCTCAAAGGCGTGTGCCATAAAATCCTGGCTGGGGAAACCACACCTGTCCATCCTTCCAGGGGTCTTTGACCATGGTTCCTCTGTCAGATTCCAAGCCAGCCCCCTGAACTCGAGGACCTTACACAGTTTACTTAAGAGTAGGGTATAAGTGGTAATGTCAACACATCAAAGGTAATTAGAGACTTGAATAGAAGCACTTCCTTTGCTCTGTGTGACCCTGACCTTGGAAACTGTGAGAGATGTTCAAGTTGCCTTGCCAGATCCTGGGAGTTTGATCACCAAAAGGGTGGTTGGATGCTGCCAATCATATAGGAGATTCTGTGTCAACAACCTATCCCTGCCACGTCAGTGCTTATGATACTGTTGGGGAAGAGTACTCCATCCTGCGTAAAGAGGGTGCATAGTCCTCCCTGGGGAGCACCTGGGAACTCGGAGCAGAGATGAGGGAGGTAGACGAGAGGCGAGACAGTAAGGAAGGGCAGGGGGAGCGGGGGAGAATGGGACGGACAGGGGGTCTAGCAGGCCTGGGCCAGGACCCAAGGGCCCGAGCACCTGTTATCGTCCAAAGGGTTAGACTTGAATGGAGAGAGCGCCCAACAGTCGCTGCCAAGCCCTGGAAGCCTGGAAGTGGGGAGTGAGGTGACAAGACTCCCTCACTCTCTTGCTCATGCCTCCCCTTGACCAAGCCCGACCAGAGCCAGGGGTCCGTGGGGCCCACCCATGTCATCCGTCCAGGATGCAGAAAGGCAGAAAATGGATATGGAGGGCAGGCAGGCAGAAGATACCCGGCCAGGAGGATCTGGCAACATTTAGGAAACAGAAATCAAGGAATGGAGAATGTTTGCAAAGTCACAGGGAAAGACGTTTGGCCTTGTAGCATTCCACTTTTTCCATTCTTAAGGATGCATCCCTTTATACCGAAAGAGGACACCATTTGGGGAAAAGCAATTTTGCTGCACTGAACTTGAGTAGGTCACGGCTTCGGTGACACCTCAGCAGAACAAAGAGATGGGATGGTGGTCCCTGAAGTCCCTTGTGGCACTTATCTCTGTAGAGATGCGCACTCTCTCTCTCTCTCTCTCTCTCTCTCACACACACACACACACACACACACACACACACACAGACACAGACACACACACACACACACACACACACACACACACGCCCCATCCTCACCTGACACGGCCCAGCTGTCGGACCGAAGCTGTTCCCATCTGAGTGCGTGCAGGCAGCCCTGTCCCCGCTGCACCGGGGGAGATGGTAAATATTTAATTCTTACCTAGTTCAGCCTGTAAATCACGCCTCGGGCTGTGGCTTCGGGTGAGTCTCACTTTCCAACATTTCCCAAGCAGGCCTTCCTCCTCTCCCTGGACCTGGATGAAATGCAGTCTTGGAGGCAGTGGGCGGGGTCCTGAACAGAAAGCAACCCCACATTTGTCTCCCCTCCTTTGTTGCATGAGACGTGTTCTTCCTAAGCATACAGTGGGATTTGGAGCGCGCACACTCCCACAGGAAGGTTCGTGAGGATTACCACTCAGCCTAGTGGCTTCAGACAGAGAGGTTCATGACCAGCATGTAATCACAGTGGGTTGACAAAGCAGAAAATGAATGATCCCAGTAAAGTATGGGGGAAACACAGTGCACAATGTATTGATATATTTCTGCTCAGAAACCTTAAGAATGCATGATATTTTATAGGGCAACTGAATTTGAGAACAGTTGCTAATCTCGTGCTTCAATTTCATGGCTAATAACCTCTGAGGTAGTTCAAATAATAGCAAATTACTGTCTAAATCAGAAACTAATTTTAAACATTATAGTCG